CCCCAAAACCCCAAAACCCCAAAACCCCGCTTAGTTATATAATGCGTATTATCAGCAATTTAAATATATAGATACTCGAATTGTATTTGATAGTTTGATTTAAGTCTTTATTTCATCATTAATATAAAGTATTCTTGAATTTCTTCATAGTTTGTGAGTTATTTATCCTTAATTATTTAACTTTAAAACGCTTCTAAATAATATATTGGTAAAGAAAAACCCAAAGATAAGAGTCCACTTTGAATCCACATCTTGAATATTCATTTATAATAATGCCTATTTGTAATGTTCCAAATTTCACTTTAACTTTTGTTAAAAATTTATTTGCCTCTATTTCGATTTGAAATTATTATTAGCAAACTAGATGAGTTTAAACACTTATTTGAAGCTGACAATATTTTCTTATTTGAGCAGTTCAACAATCCTCACTAAAATAACAAAACTCTCACATAAGTAACGCTAGCAACTCTTAGACTCAAAAATTCTCAACAAACAATTCAAATTTTGTTTCGACCTTGCCAAAACCTAAACCCAATTTCATAGCAGGCACATTGAATATCTAGCATAGTTAGCAGATTAAATCTAGATAAAACTTGATACTCAACCACACAAGTGAGCATTTCAAAGAGATATAATTGAAAAGTGCATTCAAACTAATTAAAAAAGCAACATTATTTCAATATTGATCACGTAATATGATTAGGTGCTCCTTTTGAATAAAATCCTGGCTGAACTCAATTCATTCATCGTAGAGAGAGATTTCTATTTCAAAAGAATTTAAATATATAAATCTCAGATGGTTCAGATACAACATCTGTCAAAACTTATCATTAGGACTAAGTCCTTGCATATTTTGGGTATGACAGATATAGAAACCGTAGATGATGAAGGGTATTAGGAATTTAAAGGAGATTGGGAATCTAAATGTGAGATGCTAACTTTAATAAGTTCTAATTGGTGTACTATAAGAACTAAGCGCTCTTTAGAACGATATCTGCTACACATCAAAGATTTGCTAAAGAATGTTAAGGAACTTAAAATCCAAGAGTCATAAATAGATTGAAGAATATTAGCAATGTTTAATTGGGCTGAGATGAAATCGCTGAGTCTAACATCGATGAAAATGCTGGAGGTTGAATCTTAGCCAGAAGAGGAAGATTATAATTATCAAAGCTTTGTACAGCATTAAGGTTACTTAGTAGATCTTGAAGAGAGTCTAGATCAGCCTTTTTGAAATGTACTTCAAATTGCAGTGAATTTGAGATCACTAAAGATTATTTGCAATTAATTTTAAATGGAAATGGGGCAGATGGAGAGGATGCTGGCTACAATAGATAAGTATATTCCGTAATTAGAAGAGCTATATGTAGAGGAAAGTTTCATAAGATTTAGCTTGGGGTCGTTGATATTAGGGCTGCCAAAGGGCCGACCGCTGACTGATAAAATTAAAAGTACTCTGATCAAAGTGCATATTCTATCAATAGATGTAAAATGGGAAGGAGTAATAGATGAGTATTGGGGAAGCTAGGTATTTAGACATACAATTGACAAAAATAGATTTATTTGTCCTAGTAAAGATATTAAATACAACTCTCAGGATCTGAAGGGAGAGGAGTTTCACATCAAAATTTATGACACTTAGAGAAACATGAACTAAATTGTAATCAAATCTGATTTGTTCAAAATACCTAAATGATCAATAATTGAATGAGCAGTAATTACAAGGTGAAATTAACAATTCTATCTCAGGCAGATCAATAAATTCAAAATAGCTCAAGCTACTATCAACCTGGCAACCCAAACAATCAAGTTGAGATTGTCTTATACGCTAAAAATACCTCAACCTATGAAGAATACACCTTTAAGACTACTTATAACTAAGAGTATGTGGATAAACTCTAGAAATGGATTTCTAAGAAACGCTACACTTGCAAGCCAGTAATTGCCTCAAATAAAATCAATCTGCAAGCATAGGATTCAGTTGAGTATTTACATCTAGTGATTAAGATCTTTACATTCACATTAAAAAAGGTATCTAGAAATGATATGGATATATTAAAAGATGAATTCAAGGTGCTAAAGGAGTAGGATATACAGCTGCAGAAGGAAATGAGACTGTTTAACTATCAGTTCTTCAATTAGAATGAAATCAATCGTAGAAAGATGGACTACCTCCTCAGTGGCACTCTTGGAGATAACTACAGAGCTAAGATTGTAGACAGCATTGAAAATCTTTATGACAAGTATGAAGGAGTCGGCTATTAACAAGAGGAGGCAATGAATCATGGTCAGTCTAAGAACCTATCTCAATGGACTATTATTAGAATGGAGCAGGTGCTGGCATCTCTTCTCAATACTCTGGTGGTAATATGGGCATGGGTATGATGAATAAATAATCCAAGCAAATGGAAGCAATTATAATCGGAAATGATTTGAATTAAATCGAGGGAAGAGATGCCTAAGGAAATGGAGGTTATGCTAACAAAATGAGTATTATTCAATTGGGCAAGTATCAGATGAGTCCAATGCAATTATTGGATAAGCACTCTGGATTGATGACTAGCTACTATGCTTATGAAATAGATCGTCAAGTAAAGCATCATGAAAAGTATGAAATTATGATATCTAGACTACAGAAAGCTTTATGATGACTGCTAAAAATAATATTAATGATATTTAATTTAATGATTAAAACTTGAAAAAATCTCATGTAATTGATATTTTTAACATAAATTGTTATGATATAAATATTTCAAAGCTATTCTTATTAGCGGGGTTTTGGGGTTTTGGGGTTTTGGGG